CACGAGTATCTCCTGTAGGTCGGAAACGTCCGGCAATCACCTGACCGCGAATTTTTTCTGCCATCACTTTGTTATCTTGTTGAATCAGGAGGTATCATGGTTAATGGTCACGGGTTCAATGAAGGTCCAGTAGACCTTTTTTGTCGCAAATACTTAAGTATTAGAGGTGGTTCACCATGTGAAGGTGATGAAAATTCTAAACAAAGTCAATTGCGCCTTATTAGAGAAATGTTGGATGTGGTAGAAGAAGTTGATTCCCGAGATTTTAATTGGTATTTATATAATTCAACACATAATGTATAACATGCAAATTATATCCTTTAATTCTTTATAAATAAACAAATAGTAATTAATCAAAATCTTAAAATAAGTTAACTAAATTTATTTCAAATATTTTAGAACAAAAGATTATATAAGTAATATTATTATTACTTTTGATACATCATGTAAGGCAAATTAAAAAATAAATTTATAATTAGCATTTTTTTTTTTAGAGTTCCGGTCCGAATTAATTCACCATTGGGGTATTAGATACCACTATCGTAGTGCAGCACTGGGTCTACTATTAAAATGGTCGTCCAACATGTTTGGTGTACATACGAAAATTTGGATTAAGTCTATTATAAGTGACCCTTTCATTTGACACTGGGTGTGACAAATAATATTTAATATATAAAAACACATCCAATGATTAGCCACTCCCAAGTGCCAAATGAAAGGTAACCCCTAATAGACTTAATCCATGCTTTCCAAATTTTTTCAATTATTTGCCAGCGAAGATGCTTTGAAAATAACCTGTTCTTAAATTATATATATGAAAGTCAAAGGAAGACCTGTGATCAGGCTTTCAATTATATTTTGTATTAGATACAATCTAATTTATTAGGAATTGTATCCGATACAAATATAATTGAAAGCCCGATAATAAGTTTATCCCGTGGCGGCACCCACATATATCAATTTATTGAATCTACTATTCCCGAAACACAGACTTAACCGAATCGGCCGAAAAATCGTTTGGACAATTTTTATTAGGTGTCCCAGGAATTACGATAATATAAAATTTTTTTTAGATGTTTTCAAATTTTGACTCGGCCGGGTTATGAAAACCAATTAGTTACTTTTACATGGCCTAATATAGGAAATTTTGCGACTTTAATTTTGTTTATTTCGTAATATTTTTTAGATACAGTTAACTCTCTTTACAACGAACCTTGATATAACGAGCTAAAACATGGCGATTTTATATAGCGAGTTTTTTTTTTACATCCAGAACTACTAGTTCGTTAATAGAAAAAGTCGACTGTAATTGAAGTTTTTCATATTTTGTGCACATCATAACGGCTAACATGTTTTTATTTAATTTGTAGCAATATTTTATGTATATTTATAATGACTAGCATGTTCTCTTTAGATATCTTATATTCTATCTACTTCATATCAATGAAGTTTTGTGCACAGCACTTAACTAATAAAAAAGCAAATGATTTCTAGAAAATAACGGGTTTACCCCACCCAGAATTCCGACACTTAAAATCCCGACACTCAAAACAAAATCCCGAAAACAGTGCAAATATTCTGTCAAGTCAAAATCCTAACAATACTAAAATTTTGATATCTTATCAGGATTTTAGTATTGTTGGGATTTTGATTTCGGGATTTGAGCGTCTGGATTTTGGGTGTCGGAATTCTGGGGTAAAGCTGAAATAACTTAATTGGATAATTTATGCGTGCTATATGAATTTTTTTTTTTTTTGATATTTCTACGTAAGTGTTGATTAACTAATTTAAAGCATTTTTTGGTGTTAATAACAATGTATAAATTCGTGTTTATTGTTAATTATTGGATATAATTTGGTATGTTGTGTTTATAGAATTTGTGCTATAATTACCGAAATTTGCGATAATCGCGCAACCAAATTTCAGTAGATCAGCCAAAATTAAAGTCGGAATGGTCAGAATTGTTAAATTCTGCCTAAAATTGTTCATAATTTTACTAGTAAACCACCAACATATACAATAAGTAAAATTGCTCGAACGTTAATTTTGATATAATTTAGTTGGCTAGCATTATTGTTAATGCAGCCTAGGTCCGATGCACCCCGACCCTAAATTTTGGTCGATCTGAATTTTGGTTGCGCAACTAATCTATCCAAATTTATTTCGCGCCCACTAATTTTCAAAACATGTTTGGAAATACTCAGATTAATCGGCTTAGATATCCTAAATTTCTTTATCTTTTTATTATAATACGAGTAATCAACACAAAGTGACCCAAAGCATGAGATAGTCATGCTAGGGTTATTATCGCGAGGATCATCTCCCATTTGATCTGTGTAACTTGAAATGGTATTTAAGGATTAAATGGTGATTGTGATCTGCAGTGCATTTTTCCTTCGCTGCCCGACTTGGATCTGGCTCTTTCGTATATGGCACCCTTTTTGAGTCTTCGGAATAATGTTTAAAGTACCACCAATATCATAAATTGTATTTAAAGGGCGAGTCAAAAGATTTTCTTAAGGAAATCGTTAAAAAACAGTAGAATTTGTATAATGAAAAATTGTTGAGGAAATAATTACAATTCAGATTCTAATTTACTAAGTCAAACTGGTGCTCAAACTGTTTCTGCGAAAGATAAATTGTAACTGTTAGCGTGGCGAGAAAAGGGTTATGATCAGTAATCTATTAAGATAGGAGATTCCGATGCATCGTTTGCACTGACTAATGTTTACCGAGATAGGATTGAAGTATTAAGGGATGAAAAAAAAAAAAGGAGAGAACTATACTCCTCAAAGTATTGAATTTCAAGAGCAGTGTTGGAACTACGATCCTGTAAATTTCGTGGGAAACTTTGCTTGCGCAGCTTATTGACGAAGTTTGGAAAAAAAAAAAAGGGGGAGTTTTCAGCCAAAATGATAAGCCACGACCGGAGAAAAAAAAAAAACAGCCGATCCGATCATTCGGTAAACCTGTTGTAATGAAATTTATGATTTACTCTTTTTTGGAAAAATTGATAACCAAAATAGTTTCGCTGCCCGACTTGGATCTGGCTCTTTCGTACATGGTCCCGCCCGGACCGTCCTAAAGCTGCTATTTACATTGATTCCATTTGGAAAAAATTCCCATGACTCATACCTGATACTGAACAACGAAGGATAGGTGAAAGAAGTTGGAAACGGATTTAAATATGAAACACTCAGAGATCTACTTGTAGTTTTGCTCTGTAAAAAAAAAAAAAAAAAAAAAAGAGATAAGCGGCACTGCATTCAGTTATTGTTGAGAATGATTAAGCTTCCCACGTCTCTCATCCGATACTAAGCAATGAAAGAAGTTAGGACTGGCTGAAAATGCAAAGTACTTGGGGGCCTCTATTGCGGAAAAAAACAAAGTATCGGATTATATAATGGTCTTAATTGTAAGCTTACTATCCCAGATAAATTAATTCCTCGTTTTTAAATATAGTTTTCTCGCGTAAAATTAACCAATCAAAATTTTATGCATGTCGATCTAATGCAGATTATTTAAACGCCAATGAAAACAAATATACGCGTTTTGTAGTTACTATCTTACTTTCACACGATAAAAAAGGATTTAGTGATCAACTAAAATTATCTATAACTTCTAAATTTCAGTGAATTGTGCTGATAATGGATTTTCTAAGCCAATATTCGAGTGACCAGAAACGCTGTTATAAATCATTATTCAACTATTTTAAAAACACCAATTCTGACGAATTGTCGCTTCAAGGTTACAGAGAATATGTGTTTCGGACCTTAAAAAACCTATTTCCAACAGTTTACTCACTGAATATTATCAATACAGCCTTTCACAATGTCTTTTGAGTTCCCCAAATCGATCTGTCTACATTCAATGATAAATGTGCTGAATCAGTTAAGTTTATTGCATTTAAAAGTTTTATTATTGTGCCAAATATACGTATCTTGTTGTGTTTAGTCTTGTAATAATGTAATCTATGTAAACTAAATAAAGTCTATTTTATTTATTTATTTTAATTTTTAGCATGAAGAACAACCTTCGGAAAAATTGTCTCACAAAATAAAGAATTCTCAGTAAACATATTACTGTATGATTAAGGTTTAATTATTTAATTTAATGTAATTGCTTAAGATAATAAAGAATTTAGGATGATAATATTAGTTCGTACCCGTGGTTTATTGGAAGAGCTGAGATGCACTATCATATTAAGAAATGTTTAAAGGAGGCTAATCTTGCAAATATTAGCCATGATGAGCCAATTAGTTCCTCAATTATTGATACTGAAAATCCACCTGATTGGCTCAAAAATGAATTTTCTAGTAGAAAGTGGAAAATGATATCTGATAATAGTAGCTGTAATTATAAAAAATTTTTTGAAAAGGTGAAAAATTTTTTACAAATTCAGATGATATAGCAATAAAAGAACATTAGTAAGTATTTAAAATATTAGCAAATATTAAAAAATTTTAACTAATAATATTTATAATTACATTTTAGCCAGTGGATAAGAAGGCAAGGTGATTATAAAAAATATAATAATGAAATTAATAAAGGTACATGGCAAATTGATACCATATCGATGCCTCTTAAATATTTATCAAGATCTCTTAGGGAAGCCTTGTTAATAATGTAAATTATAAATAAAACAAATTTAAAATTATAATATATTAATGAAATTTGGCTTTTATTTAATAATTTGTTTAATTATTTTTAATCTTTTATATAGACCTGAAAAATCAGGTAAGGCAAAAAACTCTAAAAATTTTAGTTCAGAAAACTCAAATTCTGAAAAAGAAAATAAAAAAAAAAGAAAGAGAGATAAAGATGATGAAAATTTTAGTTCCAAGGTAATTTTTTTAATAAAATAATATTAGCCTTGTAAATTATATAATATAATTTAATATATAGAAAAGGAAAGAAATTGGAAATAAACCTGACTTCACTATTATATCCAAAACAAAGTTATTTCAAAAAAAGTGAAGCTTTTAGTTGGGGAAGTTTTCAATTCTTTCTAGAAAGAAAGATCTAAGAAGACTAATCGAAGTATGTATATTTTTAAATTTAGAGATTAGTATTTTAAATCTTATATCTAATTTATATTTAATAAATAGAAAAAAATTAATTCAAATACTAAAGGATGTTTATGACTATATTATCAAATTATTTTTTGATAAATATCTATTTCTAGATATTGATTCATTTAATGAAATGGAAATTTATGACATTTAACTTACAGGTAATTTTTAGCTCACAAACTTTCTTAATAAAAATTAAATATATTAATCAAATTGATAATTTTATTCTTAGCATTTACAATGAAATATATTGCCTTGATAAATCAGGTTTTGGTTTATATAAAAAATACAAAAGTTGAAGAAATTATTATACCAGTTAAAGCAGAAAACAATGAGATAAATAAAATTTTTGAATTGTTAATGGTAGGAATAAAAATTTTTTGATTATTTATATAATTGCTATAAATAATATTAAATTATATGTAGTTTTCTGTTGACCAAACAATGAAATATTTAGAAGTAAAAAAATGCTAAAACCAAAAAGAAACAAACAGTAACAAATTCTGAATGAAAAAAAAATCTATTCAAAAAAACTATAGCCTCTCTAGAGAGGTAGTTAATTTTAGCCAGCTTATTGGATTTTTACAATTATAATAGAAGAATTTAAATAAAAAATTATAGTATTTGAATTCAAAATTATAAATTAACAATTGCTTTTAATATCTGAAATCAACACTGATAAAGTCCAACTCTGGCTTCTCTCCCAGAACATGAGTAAAGCCTATGACTCAGTTAACTTTGAATTATTCCAAAAATCTCTATACAGAATCCAAATGCCCAACAACTTATCAATATTCTAACCAATCTTCTATTCGACCGTTCTAATCGTGTTATTACTAATCTTGGTCTTACAAATTTTTACTCAGTTAAAAATGGTATTGATCAAGATGAAACTATTACCCCTCTTTTCTGGAGAAT